TGGAAAGGCATCCTTCTCTTGGCATCCTTCTCTTGAGGACGCTATTTCGCCCACGGATTCGGCATATATTTAAAATATATAGTATTTTGAAACCGAACTCAGTTAGCGTTTCAAGCATTTTTCTACCTCGTCTTACACTAGCATGATACACTAGTACTGTATATAATATTATTAACACGTGTTGATATCTTGTATTTTCACCTATTGCTTTGGTCATAACTTGTATTCGGTATGCTTCGTATACATTGATCATATGATTCATATCTCCATTATTTTGCAAAATATCTGTAATTCTTTTCAACAAATTTAAAATCAGTACTGGCCATAAAAGCCTATGTTCCTTGCGGCGGTGGTTAGAACCGCGTCACGCTCATACCTGTGACGCTTATAATAATTATTGAAAAATCAATTAATGGCATATGAAGAGGTAAGAAATGTCAAGAATGTTGTAAAAGATTCTAAAAATAATGATATTTTTAATAAAAATGCTGATAGCCCCTCTTCACAAAAGGTGATTTTAAATTGTATATCTAATAAACATTGCTACAAACAACAAATTCCAAAAACACGTATCCTCTATTTTAGTCCATAGTTTACATACACAAAGTTGCAAAAATTTAGATCAACATTTAGTACAAAAACTTAAAGAAAAATTATAAAATTTCAAAATATTATTTAAACAAATAAACTTTAGTAAAAATTTTTTAAGCACAAAAATTTCCTATTAAAAGATCAATAATTTAAAAAAAGAAGCTTTCAATCATTTCCTTTAATTCTGGATATATTCCCAAAAGTATGATTTCAGTTCTTAACTTTCAGGGCTATTTTCACCCTTTCAATGCAAACGATGGCCGATAAAAGAAAATAGGTCTCAAATATTTTTTTGCGTTCTATATCATACTTAAAGCGATTGGGTCGATTGGGTAATGTCCCTTGTTATATAATGTGGTTGGAGAGTTGTAAACTAGTCTTTTGAGTAGCCAGACATTTTCTATGCCACTCAAATTTCATCCGACGCGCTGTCGATGTTCGAGCCTAACGTAAACCCTTACATGCACATCACCCACACAATTTATTAGCACGATAGTAACAAATTGCTATGTACATATCATCATCAACGTATATAGTAATAATTTGGATGACCTAAAATAATTTTCCATATATGACATAATGTTATAGCTATAAAATGTTCATGCATGGTTCTAATTCGACAGCCAGGGTCTCTACAATCAAAGTCTTTTATTTTTATGTAACTTTGACAGTTTATTTAAGCTGTATTCAAGTTTATAAAACATATTATAAACAGACCATATAGGACAATTAATTATATTAATTATTGTACTATTAATTACATAAAAAATAAAAAAACATAGTTATATTAAAATGTTGTAAGAAGGATATTTCTGACGGTATTGATCCTGGAAAATACAATGAAAAATATACGGATTGATCATCATTTTAATTACTGTTTTGTAGAGTATTTTCTTGTCACATTAGTTTACTATTCTTTAATTATACCATTTTAATGTTTCATTACTCTTCTATTATACTATTTTATTACTTTAATGCTCTTCAATTACAGTTTTTATTATTTCATTAATGTATATAATTATACAGTTATCGTCCTTTGTCATTTTACTATTTCATCATACTAATATATGTAAGTGTTATTACATTATTTGATTAATCCACTATGCTACTATAATACTATTCTATAATTCAATATTTCCTTAATTTACTTAATCTACTGTTCTATTTTTTCACGATTTTATTTTTTTTTTACGCTACTGCAGACATTACCAAATTCCCAAGTCCCCAAATTCCTACATTTCCAAATTGCAAATTCTAAATAGCCAAATTCTCATATTCCCAAATTCCCAAATTCCCAAATTCCCAAATTCCCAAATTCCCAAATTCCCAAATTCCCAAATTCCCAAATTCCTAAATTCCTAAATTCCTAAATTCCTAAATTCCTAAATTCCTAAATTCCTAAATTCCTAAATTCCTAAATTCCTAAATTCCTAAATTCCTAAATTCCTAAATTCCTAAATTCCTAAATTCCTAAATTCCTAAATTCCTAAATTCCTAAATTCCTAAATTCCCAAATTCCCAAATTCCCAAATTCCTAAATTCCTAAATTCCTAAATCCCTATATTTCTAAATACCTAAATTCCTAAATTTCTAAATTCCTAAATTCCCAAATTCCAAGTTTCTATATCCCCAAATATAAAAAATTCGTAAGTTTCTAAACTTCTAAATTCTGAAATTTACAAATTCTCAAGCCCCCAAATTCCTAAATTGCCGACCCTTAGGCAAAAATTTCAGCGACTACAGTCACAGACAGCTAAATATTAAACACCTCTGTGGACATCAATAATCATATCGCGACACTACTAAAACAGTCATGGGACTTTACGCAGAGAAAACACAAAGCCAGGCTCAACCCATCAACAACTCGACAAATTCTACGATTTAAAAACCAACCTTCAACACAATAGAAGAAATCAAGTGGCAGTAACCTGAATTAGGGCCGAACACGCCAAATTGACTCATTGTCAGTCACACATACTCGAAAACGGTTCCCCCAGAAGGTGCGATATATGCAACACAACCATAACCATCAGACACATAGTATTGGAATGCAGAAAATATAACCACGCCAGAAGAAGATTAAACATCAAGAACAACCTCACTGAAGCAACCACATCAACAGCGTATCAAGACATATTACTCAAATTTTGTAAAACTATAGGAATCCTCACCCAACTATGAAAAAGTTATGTCAAACCATCCACTTCCGACCATAATCTTATCTCCGTAAACTGGTCAACAGTCGCTAATAATCTGGGTAGTTGATGCGACCGTAAACCACTGTTTAAAAAAAAAAATTCCTGAATTCCCAAATTCTAGGCTTCTATATTTGAATATTTCTAAATATTCAAATTCCAATGTTTTCAAATTGCTTAATTCCTAAATTCTAGATTCTTATAATCCTGTGTACACAAATTTACCACCTTCTGAAATTCCCAAATTTTCATATTCTCATATTCCTAAATTCCAAAATTTACGAAATCCCAAGTCCCCAAATTCCTAAATTCCCAAATTCCCAAATTTACAAATTTACAAATTCATAAATCTCTAAGTTATCAAATTCCCAAATTTCCAAGTCCTCAAATTCCTAAATCTCCAAATTCCCAAATTCTCAAATATCTAAATACCCAAATTTTCAAGTTTCCAAGTCCTCAAATTTCTCTGTTTGCACGCCTCCAAATTTCTAAATTTAATAAATTAAGAATTTCGTAACTTCGAAATTGCGTAAATCTGAAACCTGTTATACTTAAAAATGTACCAACAAAAAAACACAGCGAATCGTAGAGACCATTTACCTCGTGTCAGTATTTCCCCTAGGGAACTTACAGTGCACGTCAGTATACACGTTTACTGATTGTGTAAATTGAAATGCACATAATGTATCTTGCATTGAATAATGGCAGGTGTCTGTTATCCTATTTGACATTGTTATTTTAGACTTTCGAGGGTTCCAATTCCGCTGGAAAGCCATCGAACGTATAGCTCTTACAATCTATTTGACATGAATCGATCGCTGTTATCTGTAGTATTTTCAATGGTTTATTTTTTAAATACTGTTCCCGGTGACAAAAGGTAGGAAATACGGATGAGTATCTGATTTTTAAAAATAAATAGCGACGTGTTGCGTGTGCACAGAGCTTTCAATTTTTCAAGTGAATTTATTTTTGAAGTTTGCTGACACGCAGGTGAAAACGAATCGTGTTGATTGGCGTAATTTGTATAATTGACGATATCGAGTGGTTTGATTTTACTCTTTCGTGTTCAAATAATTGACGAAGCATTTAAACCTCTGTAACAAGAGACACGATCGAAAACAGTTTATAACTACTACAGACTGTAGTACAATCTGGAATCCATTTATTTATTTTAATACAGAGTGGCCCTGTACAAACGAGAAAGGAATGATTCTATATAGAAAAGCTGGTAAAACGTATAACATATTTTTACACATTGAGTTTTATTTTAGAGAAAATTTAAGTGTAAGATTTTTCAACATATTTGTTTGTAAGAAAGATGGCAGTTTCTACAATTTTTTGATTATATCAACAATTAGTCATAAATTAATAATTATCAGTGAATGTAGGTTATAATTAAATGAAATTTGGATTTGATTTGTAAACAAATTTTATTATTAATGAATTATAATTGAATAAATATAATTGAGGTATTTATTTTGGGAGTGAAGCAACTGGTACTAATATTATTGTATTCAAATAAGATAACTTATGTAATTCTTCTGTAATCCCTCATTGTTACGGATAGAACTGGCCAATTGAGGCATTTCAGAGCATGGGATGAGAATTTAAAGATAAACATAAGATTTAATGAATTTAGCGGGGTTTTCGGGGACGACTGGTCAAAAGCAGCAGGCATGGCGAGTTTCCATGCCTCGAAGCCCTACGTGCACGGGGAAACCTGTGGCCGTATTCGTCGAACACCATGAGTGTCTCGGCATGAAAAACACCATCGTAGCACCGGGGGTAACCAATCCGCCCGGGAGTGGTGGTGCTCACCAAAACACCGAGGGCCACTCCGCTCGGGAGAGGTGAGAACCCGGGCGGGGGCGAGCTTGCTTGCCCTGCGCTCCGGCTAGCTGTCTGCGGGATCGGTCGCACTCGAAGACGATAGATAATTAATTTTTCTAAGAAATGTACACGTGCGTGGTGCACGTGGCAATGGCACGTGGCAAAAGTGGCACGTGGCACATGCTCTGAAATTCCGAGAAAAATGCCAATTAATAAGTATTTGATCCACCGCGAAATGCCGGCGAACCCAGGTGCG